GGGGGGGGGGCTGTAAATCATCTGCCCTTCCATGCTTATAAGCCCTCCAAGTGATTCTGGTAGGAACCTGGGAATCTCTCAGCTTTTCCCTCTTCTGGCAGCACCAGCAACAGGGATTCACTGGCACATCCCCAAGCAGCCAGGGAAGATGCAGGACATGTTGGGGCACAGCCACAGGATGTGTTAGGACGTGGGGAGGAGACGTGTCAAGGCATGGCTGCATGCCCTTCCATGCTTATAAGCCCTCCAAGTGATTCTGGTAGGAACCTGGGAATCTCTCAGCTTTTCCCTCTTCTGGCAGCACCAGCAACAGGGATTCACTGGCACATCCCCAAGCAGCCAGGGAAGATGCAGGACATGTTGGGGCACAGCCACAGGATGTGTTAGGACGTGGGGAGGAGACGTGTCAAGGCATGGCTGCAGGATGGATTGAGGTGCAGAAAGCAGGGGCACTGGACCCTGCCGTGGCTAATGGTTGCCATGAAAGCCAGCCCTGACCATGGCCACCTCCATGGCCCTGATCTTCCCCCAGGCTGGGGCTGTGGAGGGTCTGGAGCAGCCCAGGCTCAGTTCTAAGACCTCCAAGGGGCTGCTGTCTTCCACCCATTTCCCCAGGCAGCCCCAGCCCTCCATGAGGTGGCCAGGGGTCTCCAGGGAGAGTTTGAAGGACGAGGCATTAGTGGGGACAGCCCAGCAGCCCCTGGCTGGGCAGCAGGGGCAGCCCACGGGCTCAGCAGGGTCTGAGCCCTGAGCAGGGATGCTGGCCAGGGATCCTGCTTTCCCCCTACGGCCCTGCCAGCCACACCCAACCTGGCCCTGGCCCTTGCCTGGCCCAGAAGGGATTTCACCCAATTTGCACATTTTCAGCAGACACAAAAGCTAGAAAATATCACGGGTGCCAAGGCAGGTCACAGGGCAGGGGGATAGAGCTTTCCTCCCCCACTGCTCTCCTACTGCCATGAGAGTGCAGAATCCTCCTCATCTTCCCTCCCAGGGCCATTGTGCAGGGCTGAGCTCTGCTCCTGGCCCCGCTAATTAAATACAAATTAACTGAGGGCTAGGCTGGTCAGCAGCTGGTGCCACCTGGGGCAGCCCAGGGCTGAGCTGGTGGGCTTACACATCACCTGGGGCTGGATGGGGACAATGAGGGCTGGGGGACAGCCTGGGAACAGCCTCCCCATGGTCTGCCAGGCTTGGGGACACTGGGAACGGCAGGTAACGGGGATGGGGCTCATGGCCTGGCTTTGCTCCAGCATGGGCAAAAACTGAGATCCTCCTGGCCCAGGCAGGCAGCCCCCAACCCCCCATCCGGCGGCTCCCCCAGCGCTGCACATCGTTTGTCACTGCGACAGGTCCAAACAAACCCGTCTGGGATTAATTAAGCTCCATCTTCGTTTCCTCTGGCGCTTTGCAGGGGGAAGGCAGAGGGGAGGCAGCAGCCGGGCGGGTGGGCTCTTGGCAGGCAGGGGCTACCTACCTTTGGGCAGGGGGGAAAGGGCAAGCAGGAACCCCCCCAATCTCCCCAGCCTCCCTCCCGTGTTAACATGGTGGGTTCCTGACAGTGTCCTGGCTGGCTGCAGGCCCCATCCTGGGAATGCGAGGCCAGGGATGTGCAGCATGGCCAGATCCAGCACTAGATGGCTGCTGCCACCTTGTGCACAGAGGGCTGCTCCCATCAACACCCTCTTCGTCCCCAAGTTCCCCCAAAAGATGGGCCCAAAGGCCCCCAGAGGCATCCCCAGGAGGGAGGGCTGGACTATGCCAGCAAGGAGAGAAATGGGAAACAATCAGCAAATAAAACCAGAGTCCCCCTGATTTATTAGCAGTTGGTTCAACAGGACCTCACGCCAGTGCCAAGGAGCCTCTCCCAGGGCAAAATGCCACATCCCCCCTGCCCTGGCCCCGCACTTGGGGTGAGGGGCAGCAACCCACACACTACATCCACTTCCATTAGCCACTGGTT